TTCGTCGGCATTGTTGTGTTTGTTTGGGAGAAAACGTACAAACATACAGTGCAGCACTTCAGAGTTACACTGCTAGCGATCGAAGATTTATGTAAATTCGACAAGCTAAACGCATTCTGTACTGTACAGCAGGAGTCCCCAACCTTTTTGCACCACAGACCACTTTAATGTCAGACGATATTTTCAGGGAACGACCTTTAAGGTGTCGCGGATAAATACAACAAAAGAATAAAAAAAGAAACTGTGGTATTTTGTAAATATAATAATAAACGTGACTTGAGCTGTGCGCCAACAACAATGACAGTGACATCCTCCTCTCTGCTTTTTAATGCTCTCTGGTCGCTATGGTAACGCGTAAATAGTTCTTACAAAATAAGACACACAACTACAACCATACATTTCACACCGGAGGATCAACTCTCGCGGAACGGTACCAAAAGACTCACGGACCAGGACCGGTCCGTGGGCCTATTGGGGACCGCTCCTGTACAGGAGACACTGGATTAGATTGATTGACAATGGTCTACAGCAATCAGAACGCACAACGCGATGTACTGTAAAAAAAATAATAAATCAGCGAAACAGCAAGTGTCACTTTTGGCCACGAACAATTTAGGGGATTTTTCTGAACAAACCCAGAGTGTTAAAAAAACACTTAAAACCATTTTTATTTATCAGCAGCATCAATAGTAACAAAAACACAATTTAGTTTTCGCTGTCAAAGTCGATTTAACTGAAGTTACGTGTTTCCGGTTACTGTGGAGCTCCACAGCAGCTGCAGCCAGAAGCTGTTTCTACAGGATCCTGATGGACACTCAAAGCTTTTAGAAAATGTTCTCATTAGTTGTTTGCAGCAGAATATCAACCGATGTGAACCAAAACAACAAAAGTGCTCTGCACATGTGTGTGAGACTACAGATTCTAGAATCAGAACTGCTGATTTCATTACTCTGAACTTTTAAAGGCAGGTTTTGTATCTGAGAGCAGGGACACTTGCTGTGTTCAGTGTGACTCGTCTCTGCAGAAGGTCAGGGCTCTGATAGTTGCAGTTAGCGGGTGACTTACTGGGCAGGTGGATCCTGAGTGTCTGTTGGAGTCAGGGTTCATTATGGTCCTGGTTGATTTAAACTGTACAGGCACATGTGTTCAGTGCCATTCAGCAAACCAGCAAACAGCCGCCTCGCACACATGCGTGTGCTCAGCAGCACCGTAGAAGAATTTAATTCACTTGTTAATGACTTTTCTTTTCAACAAATCAACAACAGCACAGGACAAAGGGGGGTGGGTGGTGGGGTGTTGAGATGTAATCAGATAAATCTGGAATATTAACTGTGATAACAACAATTATCCTAATAGATCTTCAGCTGCTTGTTGGGAGAATCTGGGAGAGGAAAACTAACGTGAGCACAAAGTGTCTGAATGTTTTCCCATCGTCACTTTCCACAATGCACAGAGGACAGGGCTGGGGTGATGTCAGGATGTGACGAGACTATAGTGAGTCCAACTGTTGTGTTACACAGGTGGAAGTATTCAGTCTGGCAGTGTGAAGCTTAAACAGTGTTTTTAACATCACTTTAGGTCCAGCTGACATAAACTTATCACACTCACTGGTAGAAATCAAAGAAAGCAAAATGATGCGTCCAACAGTCTGTTGTCATGCAAGCGTAACACCAAGTACACAGTGGTAGCCTAACACTTATTGTGTGCCCTGTAGAGACTGTGGTATGGTTGTCATAAGGTTGCTACACTGTTTGGATTAAACGCTCCTTAGCAGCAGGATCGATATTGAACAGTGTTGTTTCACCGCCTCCAGCTGACACGCAGCACCCCTGCACACAGGCAGACACACAACCTCTTTCCTCACTACGACACATGTAGCTGACATTCACAACAATGCACAGCACTCAGCAAAACTCCAATGTAAAGAAAACTGAAGTGTTACACAGTTACCATAATCGTTAACCTGCTTGGTGGGAATTTAACATGCTCACGATTTGAGATAATTAGCTGTTATCATTAAAGTGGACATGAAACGCTACATGTATGAAGGCTAATTTACACCACTGAGCCCTGCTCTCAAAGGTAACACTGTCTGTGCAGCTCGATTTAAGAAGTAAGTGCTTAAAGTTTAAGTTTATATAACACGTTTACCGACATCAGCATGTGATGTCACTGGGTTGGTTAGTTTATGTTAGCTTACTAGTAGCTTGGACCATGCCTCTCCTCAGCCAGGGCTCAGCTATTGCCCATTGTTGGAAGTGGGTGGGCCCGAGTCCCTAACGCCCCATGCAGGACTTGCCAATGAGTCTTGGTACTATACCATGCTGGTATAGCCAGACCTTGAATTTGCCTGGTATGCCTGAACCTGCATCTTATGTAGCCACTCTACATCGTGCTCCTGCAGTGGATGAACTCTCATTCCCAGCCCGCTGGCACAGACTTTCCCGGGAAGGCTGAGGAGAGTGATCCCTCCTACATATTCTAATATAAACCATAAGCTTTATTATTGTAAAATGGAAGCATTAACTAGCTGTGTATATCATATTGTCTGCAATCATACTGGTACAAATTCTTACGTGATACAAAACTGTCGTACTGAGATATCATTGCTATAGCAACACCAGGTGGTTATGATCCCTAGTGCATGTAATTAAGAGACAAGCCTGGGCATGTCTGGGAGTGAGAGCCACATGTGTCAGTCTGCAGTGGAGCAACTTCAGGAACCTCCAACAATCACAGTGCTCTGCAACATATGCAAGAACCTGTTTCAGCCCTTCAGGTGAAAAAACTGTGCGCTACAGTCAGGCTGTGTGTGACCCAAATGTAAACAAATGACTCCACCAAGTGTGGCTGAAGGACGTCATGTGACAGGAAGAGCAAACAGTGGATGAAAGTTACTGATACAGTACATGGTGCAAGACCAAAGCAGCAGGTTAAAAAGCTCAACTCATGACCCAATATCCCAGGTAGAAGAGAGTCTTCAGTTTTATTGTGAAAATATTGTGCAGGTTCCTAAAAAGTCACAAGGTTAAGTTACTTTAGTTACTGTTTAACAAAAGTTTCCAGGCCAAACTACGACTGTTTCTGTACTACATTTGACTTATTCTGTGTTGCAGTGCCGTGCCACTTTCACGCTGCTGCAAACGGCGCTGTGTCATCAGTGACAGTAGCTCATTGGAAGCAATCATGGGATGCCCTTCATTTAATCAAACTTAGAAATGCTGCCGAAAATATCTTTTTGTGTAAATGATCAGAAACATTATTACCACAAATCTTCTTAAAGTATCACTTTGAGCCTGTAAACAAACGGGCACAGCCCTGGTTTATAAACTTTTACTTTGAGTCGGTTCAGAAAGTTGAAGACGTCGTAAGAGAGGCTGCGAAATCATTTTGAGATTGAAGAACATGAAAGAATCATGTTGTTTTCCTGAGCAATGAGAACAATTGAAAACCAGAGCTGTAAGTCAGCTATGTAGAGTTCGAGATGTGTGCGTGTTCCCTTTGAAAGTCAGATCTCCATATTTGCTGAGCTTTACAGTACCAACGTCACAATTAGGGCTGGGCCATATTATACCGTTCACAGTAATACCGGTATAATGTTGGGCAACGATAGGAAAATGAAATATCGCGATAGAATATGAGTAAAACGCGCATGCGCAGTGCCTTTGTTTTCATACGCACATGGCCGATTGTTGAGTGAATCAGATGAACCAGAATTGGTTTGTAAAAAAGCGGCCGTCGTTATTGTCGTATTTGTCGGACTAAGATGCTCTTAAATCTGGGAGTAATCTGGGTCCTAAACTCTGTATGCTTCAGGTCAAACGAACACTGCAGCATCACTGAGAGTTAAAAACTGTCTAAATTCTTTCATCTTTAATAAAACGATCAGCATTGCTGCTTTACCAGGTGTAACTATGAAGTTTAACTTCCAGGCATCCATGAAAACAAAATTTATTACATTTAACGGAGTTAGAAGTTAGCAGGGAGCTAGCGGAAGTTAGCTCGCTAGTTTCGCTAGTTACCTAAGCATGATATTGCATGTTCTGACAGAGATTTCTGAAAAAAATCAAACGTACAGCTCTGCTATCACTTCCAACATAAATGAAGACAGGAAACTAAACAGCAGTGACGTTTGTAGGGTTACTGAAGTTGGGCTAGCTGCTATATAATGATGTGCTACGTGATTGCTAGCGACACAGCTATGTTAGCATAACATAAACAGTGAAGCTGGAGGACGAACACTAACACTTTTCCACTTATAAAAGTTAACGTTCCTGATAGTTAGAGACAAATGCAATCGCATGGCAGGATGCTGTAAACGGACCAAACTTCAGTCAGGAGAACAACTGAGATAATCCATCCACAATACGAGGTTAGTCATTAATATACTGCAACAACATGCAGCTGCCAGAGAATTCAACATTAATGAATCAATGGTACAGAAGTGAAGGAAGCAAGAAGAATGAGTTTAATAAAGTTTGGTTTATCTGACTGCTTTGTTTCGCTTAATGTGCCTTATAATCCCATGCACCTTATGGTCAGAAAAATACGTACTGCACACTGCAGTTTAATGTTGCAAAGCACCTCTTTTTAACTTCAGTGGATATTATACATGGTTATGCTCAGGATATGTCAGCCCATTTCTACTGGAAATGCCTTTTGGTTAAACTTTCAGCAAGGAATTTGCATTTGCACTGTTCCATTTTTATAAAGCTTTAATGTACATAAAAACCAGCTTCTTGTTTAAGTGAAAATAAATGGAAGGTTGTCTTTTTGCGCTAGTAATGTTGTGGAGTTGTATTTTGTCTCGCATCAATTATATCGTCAGTTATATCGTTATCGCAAATTTTCAAATATATATCGTGATAAATATTTTTGGCCATATCGCCCTGCTCTAGTCACAATCTGCAGCTTTCTGCTTGTATTCCTGAGGTTTAAACTGCAATGACTGAGGCTTTATTGAACTGTTCCACTCAGTGCTTGGCCCGCTGCAGTCAGTGATGCAGGATCTGCACTCGGACGACGACGACGACGACGTGGATTCAGACACGGATCGAGCAGCACACCTCGCACACCACCAGCACAGGTTAGTAGCCCGAGGGTAGCTTTTCGAATGGCTGAACCGCACACTAGTTTAGTTTCATAGAGCTGTGTGCAGACATTGGTAATGAATTCCTTCTAACCAGGATATTGCTATTATGAGTGCTACTTTGTATCTCACATGTTTGTGCAGTAGAGCCAGCCTTTAACAACAAACCTGTAAAATGATGAAGAGCCGCTATTTAAATCTTGGTTAAAATTGCTTGGGACAGTTTCTAAAGGTTCTTTCAACGTGCCTTTTACTAACTTTTCAAGTATTTCATGTAAGCTCTTTCCAACTCTCTCCACCATCCTGTTGGTGGAGGCGTGCCGTCAACCTTGGCCAAAAAGCATAACTTAACCAGATCGTCTCCGTCTCCAACAGTTGACCGGTTTTCTATCATCTATGCCAGGGGTGGGCAATTCCAGGCCTCGAGGGCCGGTGTCCTGCAGGTTTTAGATGTGTCCTTGATCCAACACAGCTGATTCAAATGGATAAATGACCTCCTCATGATGTCTTGATGCTCTCAGAGGCCTGGTAATGAACTAATCATGTGATTCAGGTGTGTTGACCCAGGGTGAGATCTAAAACCTGCAGGACACCGGCCCTCGAGGCCTGGAGTTGGACACCCCTGATCTAGCAGGCCCCTCCCTGACACTGATTCTGCGAGAGTCATCTTCCTGTTAAAGACCGTCCTTCGTCCCCACTCTCTCACATGCTGCTCATGGGGGATTTTTCATTGTTAGCGGTTTTTAGCTAACAGCTGAGACAACAGTTTTAATGTCTTTGTTTTTTGTGACTTCATACTTAGGATTAGTTTAAGTGATGGCAGCAGAAGTGACAGCTCCTCCCATTCCCCGCTGTCGTGCAGTGAGGCCCCGCCCTTATTAAAGTCTACTAATAACCAGGTAATCATATCAGTAATATACTGGCTTATGTCTTAGATCAGCATGATTGAAAGCCACAGTATCCAGGTGTGTGCGTGACCCTGGGTGACTCTTTGCTCTTCTGTCTGTCAGATAGTGGAAGTAAAAAGTCCCACCAAGCAGAGCAAGCAAGACAAAAGCATGGAGTGTGATAAGGTGAGAACGAGTGTCTTTGGTTTTTAGAAACAGTGCGTGTAATGTGGAGTAGACTAGTAAATATTCTGAATATAGAAAGTGTTGTTATGTCTTGGGGTTTGTTACCATCAGCCACTGCTACATCATGACAGCCGTGTTTGCTGTGTGCTTTTCAGGTTTACCTGGATGAGCTGGTGGAGCTGCATAAAAGACTAATGACACTAAGAGAAGGTCACATACTGCAACAGGTGAGCTGATGTCAGCAGTGTCCGATACGTCCATCAGACGCAAACCCACTTCTACAAAGTTTGGGATCCGTGTCAGATGTAAAAACTGAATTCAGTGATTTTCAGATCTCAGATTTTATTCACACGGTTTAAATCGACCAGTTGAGGAAACACGTTAGCGCAGGTCGAAGCTCTCTTCTGATTGGCCAGCTGAGAGCGTGCTGTGCCTGCAGCAGATGACTGCATAAAGAAATCTGCTTGTTTAAAATAAATATTAGACCTTAGACGAAATAATAATGATGAAGTAGTAATGTAGAACAATAGTTAATAGTTGCAGACTTTACTTTGACCCAGCCTGTGCCCACCACTCTCACTGTCTGTCTTGCAGATTGTAAACCTGATTGAAGAGACCGGACACTTCCACATTACAAACACTACGTTTGACTTTGACCTTTGCTCTTTGGACAGAAGTACAGTAAGGAAGCTGCAGAGCTATCTCGGGACGTCCTGAGGCACATAGCAGTTGGGTGCTGGATCCGAGCCTCTGACTCGTCCTGTATCAGTTCCAGCTGTAGTTGGCGTGTCTAAACCTCACAGTGGGTCCAGCCTGCTGCTTCGACTCCCCCGAACAAAGAGTTCACCCTGCTGCAGAAATCGGGGGTAGATGTACGAGATCAGGATGTCAGCAGGCAACAATCTGAAAGCTTGATATGAAGGGTTGGTGGGTGGGAGTGATTCTGCTGCCATGTATGTTGTTGTTTATCGTGACAAGTGCATGATCAACTTTGCCTTACAACATTGTACGTCTTATTTATTAAATTTAATTTGCAGGTGTGTGTGCGTGTGTGTTGGGTGGAAAAAAGTGAAACAGGACTTTGAAGAGCTCTATAAGGCACAAGTCTGACCAGTAACACTACTCTGCTTCGGTCTCCGATCAGATATCCGATTCATTCATTTCCCTGGGATCAAACAGCGTCCGCACAGATGCATCTCTGTTGTTCTGTTTTGTTGTGTGCGACCTCACAGTTTGCAAAGACGTGTGAAATATGAAGAAGAATCCAGCAGGAGGTCTGGATACAAAGCGACACATCGTGGCGAGCGTGCTGAGTTGAGAGCGCCGTCGTCTGAAAACTAAAAGTTGAGAAGTTTCTCCAGTTTGTTCTGGAGTTAAAGCTTTAAAAAAAAACTTTATTTGTAAGTGTGTCTTTATTAAAGCCACCTTTATGCAAACTCTGAACTTTGAATCCACTGGAGCTTTACAAAAATCTTTGGCCTTGTCTCCTGCTGAAAGTGTCCTTCCTACATAGGAGTGTAGGGAGCACATTAACATAAAGGTCCTTCTGAGAATAAAGTGGAAATGTGCAGATTAGTTATTGCAACTAAACCTGATCCTGAAGCATTTCACCAGCTCACAGTGCAGCTGTGGCACTTAAAACGACTGTAATTGCCACATTTCAGTGTTTTTCTCTAAAAAGATTTTTGACTTTATTCTCAAAATGATCGACATTGTTTTTTAATCTTACTGTGGTCCTGTTACTCGGCTCTACAAAGTGAACTAATTTTACCAGCTTTAAATACCAGATGAACTCATGTCGGCTGCTTTAAAAACCTGTTTAATGTTGTTTAAACAGCAGGGAATGAATGGCTGCTCGCCTGTGCTGAGCACTCATCTTTGGTACAGGAGAGCTGCCTCTCAGGAGGTCCTGCCACTAAGCTTTTGCTTCTGATCGCCTGCCTAAGCACAGATCATGGGTTCAGTTGGTTTAGGATGTTTGTAGACAAAGATCCACTAACACGTGGAGTCATACAACCGACCCAAAACCTGCAGGAGGAACCGTTAACAGTACTCTGAGGTGTGGATGTGTTTCACCTGTTAAATCAAAGCTCAGCGTGAGACGAGGCCTTTCTTGGAGTCGCCACAGGGACACGTGACAGTCTGATGAGGATGATTTCGTATTTTGAGGATTGAATGAACTATAAATGTTCTGTATGATGTGCAGATCGCACACATGTGGATGAGCTGGTTTTGTATGTGCGTCTGAAGTAGCTGTGTACACTGTGCACAAATTGTGGTGTCAGGCCAAAATGTTTGCTGTGTGCATCTTACAGCAGCCTCTGATCATTAGTTCAAATATCAGCTTTTAGCTCCACCTAGTGGTAGCATGTTAAAACTGCTGCACAGCTCCTGAAGTGGAAATCCACAGTTAAATGATTCATCTCATCTTTATCACTGCTTATATTAAGTTAATGTGAATGATCATACAAAGCCCTGCCTTTGGTTCAAGCAGACTTACCCCACGATTCTGTGACCATCGTTACCCCCAAAGTCGATATGTTTGCCTAAAAACATGTAAAATGTTGTTTCCTGGTTAAAGCAGTCACAGGACATCCCTCCGTACAGGAAGCTAAAATAGACTGATTGCCCCCTATTGGCTCTTAGTACAGGCCGACAGCTTCACCCTTCTGTACTACACCTTAAAATAATATAAACTCATCAATGACACTAATAAAAATGTGATTATCTGACCAGTTTTTGATGTGATGCTTTATAAACAGTGCGTTTCGTTATGGCTGACAGCTGCAGAGGCGCCTGTTTAGATTACAGTAACTGTTCTGCATCCTTAAAGCTAACCTGCCTGTTCCAACAACAAACTTAAGTAGTGCAGCTGCTAAACTGTAGTGATGTACTCAGAGCCTGGAGACCCAGACAGCGCCACTGTCAGTTCCTCTTTCCTACAAGCTAAACAAGCAAAAGTAGTTTTGGGTTTTTTGGACTGTCTTCATGTTCCTGCAGCTGGAGGATTGGTACCTTCTGTATTTAATTCCATAACAGAATCTTGGGCCATGGTCCTCAGCAAGAAAAGGGTGGAGTGCCCACTCCAGGTCACCCCACCCACAGCTGATCTCTTAGATGGACATTAACATCACCCACCCCTCACCAGGTTTTCCAACTGCTTTGTGGATAAGACGTCTTGGACGATCATCTTGGGTGTGCAGGAAACAGCGGGATGTTTCATGGATGGAGGTGCCATGTTTCTGCTGATGTTCTAAATGAGCTCATCTGCACAGCATAGTGGAAGCATGTGCTAGGATCATTGTAGTCTCCCCTTCATGCACATTGCTACTGCTATGTAATCATTTATTTAAACTGCATTATCTCTGGTGGACACGATAAAGGCTTCATTACGAGCCACGAGGGTTTGTGTTGCTTTTTTAAACTAAAAGGGAAAGTCCCCACTGAGACTCCTTTAAGCCATTCTCGCTTGAGAAAATGTAGCTGAGGGAGAGGAGCTGGGTACAAAGGAAGAATGGAACCGAGGGGTGGGCGAACGCTTCAGCGGTCCGGCAAACACTTCCTCCAATAAACTGGGAGACCTTCAAAATAACTCCCGCAGAAGAGACACAGAGACATCGACTGTCACACTGGCATAAGGCCAAGGAAGTGAAAAGCTGCCCACCCACCAAACCCCACCCTCACCTCCACACAAACCTCTGCACATGATGACACATCTGCCCTTCCTCACTCGTATCACTGCCTGCAGCTGTGAAGGCAGGCTGCTTGGGGAAACACACTTCCTTCACTTCTACACATAAGCAAGTGCAACTGACTGATTTCATCGTAAATTGTAAACAAAATAATATTAATCATTTAAAAAAGTGTTCTTTGAGTTTCCTTGGCATATTGTTTACAAACAAGCATGTTAGCACAGCGGATTTATCACTGAACACAGTAGCAGCTCGATCTGCATGTTTACAAACCTTTGTAAGTAACCAAGTTCAAGCGATACAGACTCATCAGACTTTGGCTCAGTGACGTGATCCGTTGAGATGAAGCCTTGCAGATAAAGAGATATCCGACATCATAACCAGTTCTTTGAGGACTGCAGTGCTAATAGGACGATGCAATGAATGCTACTATCATCAATTTGGTTAAATGGTTAATTACTCTAAGCTGGATAACTAAGCTAATAAATATTAACCGATGCATCTCAAGTTGGGACAGGGCCATCTTACTGCTGACCATGAAACAGAGCTTTTGACCCATGTTAGTTTAGTTTTCAAATCAAATCAAATCACTTTTATTGTCACATCACATGTGCAGGCACACTGGTACAGCACATGCGAGTGAATTCTTGTGTGCGAGCCCACAAGCAACAGAGATGTGCAACACAACAACACACGAGCAAATACAGAATGGCCAACCTGAAACTATAATATATGTACAATATATAATAGTGTATGCATTTCTGGATGTGTATACTAAATATTTTCCTACGTGTGTGTGTGTGTGTGTGTGTGTGTGTGTGTGTGTGTGTGTGTGTGTATGCACATTTTTACAAATTAATAGTAAAAAAAATAATAAAATAAAATATATAAAATATACAGAGTTGAATATGTGCAAACAGTGGCATTACTGTACAGTGTGTAGTGCATAATGTTGAAGTTCCAGTAGTGAAGCTGAGGTGTCTATGACGTGTTCAGCAGTCTGATGGCCTGATGGAAAAAGCTGTCTCTCAGTCTGCTGGTACGGGACCAGATGCTGCAGAACCTCCTTCCTGATGGAAGCAGTCTGAACAGTTTATGGCTGGGGTGACTGGAGTCCTTGATGATCCTCCCCGCTTTCCTCAGGCAGCGCTTCCTGTAGATGTCTTGGAGGGAGGGAAGCTCACCTCCAATTATCCGTTCAGAGCACCGCACTACTCGCTGGAGAGCTTTGCAGTTGTAGGCGGTGCTGTTGCCATACCAGGTGGTGATGCATTCAGTGAGGATGCTCTCAATGGCACAGTGATAGAAGGTCCTGAGGATGCGGGGGCTCATGCTGAATCTTTTCAGTCTCCTGAGAAAGAAGAGGCGCTGCTGCGCCTTCTTCACTGTTTTGTTT